ATTGAAGTTCTTTTCTTTGTGATCGTTTATCGGTGCAAGCTCATCCAATAAAATTAAGATTTGTAAAACACCAATTTCTGCCATACCAAAAGAATGGGCATGCCCAACACAGCCAAAATATCATTCGAACTTTTTCATGTAATTGTGCCAACCCGTGATATATTTAGTATTTGATCATTGTTGTGCTGCGTCGGTAGGGGATGCTACAGGATAAATTTAGTTTTACCAACTGCGTCGATTATGTAAATGTGCCCATTGCGGGTAATTAGACTTCACAACATAATGCGGCTAAAAGGAGTCTATTCTTCAATCTTTCACCCTGAATTTAGATGCCAAGGAATTGCCAGTGTTCAGTTTCGATTAATTGCTTGATTTACCCAAAGTAAGTTCTTCTGTTTATTGCCTGAAAAATATCTTGTTATCTTTTCTCAGGGGGTTAAAGAATAACGGTATAACCATAACAAAGTTAAAAAATTTGATGAGCATCTTAATTCAGCCAGAAAAATCACTCGTGATTGGTAACAGGAGAGAGCCAAATATCTTAAATCTTTAGAACAAAATCCGTGAACCAATGAAAAGGCGAGTTATCATAATACTAGCTTTGCTTTTGTCAAAATCCATATGGAAATGGCACTGGTCAAAATACGATATAAACTTTTCTGACAAAGGGTAGCAAAGTTCTTTTTTATAGTAATCATGATGAACGGGACGTTTTTTGCAAACTTTCTACTGCAATTATCCTCTCTTTCTGACTTGAGAGAGCTTCGATCAGCTCTCATTGTTGAGTTGTCTTCAATAGTTTCCTTAGCTACACCGCTATTCCGTTAAACATTGTGACAATGTACCCCATGCAGAAAGCTACATCTTTGCCAAATAATTTAACAACATTGTTGCTCAGTCTTGCTATTTCTGATGTTGTAGTTGGTTTATTTGCTCAATCTTTTTATACTTTTTGGTCAAGTGGCTACAACCGAATAACCCTAGCTGCAACGTTTACCAAATGCTGAATATTTCTGGTATTTTTTTTTAAAGCTCGCTTCGTTCCTCGGTGTTGTGGCTGTTATTTTAGCAGGTTCTTAGGTATTCATCTTCATCTCGGAGACCAGGAGCTTGTGATAGGCAAGCGTGTGGTTATTGTGGTGATCTCTATATATGGATGCATGGAACATTTGTTTTTTTCGATAATTTTTGCGGGAGAGTCCAAACTCCTAATCTTTCGATGTAAGATCTTTCGGTAGAAGTTCATGCTATGCTGTGTTAACAATGCTTTTTTCAACAAAGAAGATCCGACTTTAAACTTATGAGCGTAACGTTTATTCACAATCTTTTATTTGCGATTTTGCGATGTCATCATTCATTGAAACATCAGGAGGAATTTTTGCAGAAGAGTCCAAACTCCTAACCTTTCAATGTAAGATCTTTCATTGGAAGTTCATGCTATGTTGGTAGTGCTATTTTCATTAGAAGCGCAAAAATTATGCTCGTTTCTCCAAATTATGCCAAAAGCTATGCTAACACAATCTAGCGGGGCCTTTGATTGTTTTAAACGTGAGGGGTACTACCGTATTTTCTGCTGGAGGCTCACAGAACCTGATGTTGGCACATGTCTCTAAACGGGCGTAAGATGTTTAACAGATGGACACTCACGATGGAATGTTTGCAAAATGCTTCAAACGAATTTTAAAATGGCGTATTTGATGAATTTGGTCCGTTCCTTGACTGGACCATGAGGAACTTAACTCTGTCGCCATCCTTTTTTTTTTTTTAATTTTTAAAATTTTTTTTATTTTAATCATAGCCATTATTGGTGCATATGCAGCTTCATTTTTCACTGATCATTCTGTACAGTTGTAATCGGACAGTTGGCTGTAACTGGACACCTTTAATCATACTAAGTCTACTCTGCTAATCCACCAATCACAGAAATGATCACAATAACCATAGCAACGACCATTTATCCAAAGAAAAATTATGGCATTTCCAAAATGGCGGAATTTTTAACAAAAGGCATTGTTGCCACTGGAGATATTTGTTCTACGTGTATTTGTTTTTTCGGAAATTGAAATGGTTATGATTAATTGGTATCAGACCTTCTTGTCGTCCAATTCTGTCTGTAATTATACCACTGATTACTGATTACAGACCCAATTGGACTCCAGGCAGTCCTATTACCGCTATAAATCAAAAGTATAACAAAATTCTTGAACGTGACTGGTTCTCACCAGCCCGATTTAAGCACTAATAGGTCAGTGTACGCGTCATGGACTTCGTAATAGGACAGCCTGTGTAAATGGATAGAACGCGTAATGGGCGCGCGCTGTTGTCTCGTATTTCGCCGAATTACCTATTTTTTCTTTTTGGAAAGTTATAACAGGACCTCGTGTCGTCTAATTCTATCTGTAATAATACTCGTGATTAACAAATCGGACTCTCCCTTCGCGGTCGCCCGATTTTGTCAATCATTGGTATGGTTGCGGACGGAAGTGGACTCCACTCGGTCCTAGAACCGTTTTTAACAAATACTTTCTTCCAGGCGGCATAAGAACGGAACATGTTTTTAATTTTTTCAATATTGCACTTTAATAGATAGGTTAAAGAAAATAATAGGCCCCTTTTAGAAACTGATCGTTTGTTATTAACACAGTGTGGTTGCGTTTAATTATGGATCATCTTTGATACCCGATTTATTCGATGGAATGGATCTCATGGGTTTCCTTTTTGTTTTTGTTTTTTTTCAATTTTCTAAAAAAGGATTTACGAAACTGTAGTCGTGAACAGCTGTCTCTTTTTGTTCATTATTCGTACACATGGAGACCTCTTTTAGTTGAACGGTCTACACGAGTCGAAATAAAATATGAGGAGATTAAAATAGCATAGGGAAAGCTCTTGTAAGCTTCTTGTTTGTAGGTGTTTCGATAACTGGTCCAACTATTGTTTGGAAAATTATATATTGGAATGAAATGACTGATAGGTAAATTTAAAATAACAAATGCTTTAGGGGATTAAAATATGGCACTCATCTTTTAAAAGAATGCAAAAGAAGAAAATTCACGATTTCTGAAGTTGGATAAGAAATAATAATATTAATAATAATAATAATAATAATAATAATAATCCACCTTAACAACGGATTTCTGAGCTTGGAAATCTGGTTTTTGATTTTATGTGTTGTCGCAAAATCCGAAATCCGGATATCAAAAGCTAAATCCAGATTTCCCAGTTGATAGCACCCAATAATTTCCTTGTGTCTGTTGTCAGAAATTCACTCTGAAATGTGACAGTATAACATATCGTAGTTGAGGTGTCTGCACACTTCTTCTCCGGTTAGGAGCCGATTTTAAAGGGAGGAACTGAGGAATGAAGGAGTTCGTTCCAGAATGTGTACGACAGTTTTGTTGCTGTGTGTTTGACAAACGTGAATAACATTTTTTTGTGTGTGTGCGTTCAGTTACTTCCGTTTATTGTCGTTTTTATCCTCATTTATTTGCTTTATACGTAATCAAAATTGACGAGACTTGGAGGCTAAAATTAAGAGGTACGTGTTAACTATTTTATGATCATATTTTAGATAAAAAATCGCCAAATTTTGCTCTGTCTTTTGTGTCTGAGATCCATGATTATTATCAGGATAAATGTAAGGAGATTCTGTCCAACAGTTATAGGATGCTACTATTGAAATGATATTCCTATGTCAATGCGGGAGAAGCCCACTAGAAAACTTTTAAAAGTGTAGTTTTTATGTATTATTTCTCTCAGTATTTATTAATGTCTTCCTTTGACCATGTAATATTAGTATGTATGTTGTTAAAAGTGTAATTCCCATTCCCTCTCTTAGATATAAATTGCTTTTGTTTTATTGCATGAAAAAGTGTTATTTGGCGTAAAGGGCATCTAATAAGCTTGCTTTATTATGCCCATCTCCTTTTTTTATTTTATTTTGTTGCAATTATTTAAAGGTTGTGATTGTTGAAATGAAGGAAATAATGATTAAAAAAATAATAATAATACAGATCATAGCGAGTCAATCAAGTAGCACTCCTTTCGCTGAATAATCAATGTATGTTACAAAGTACGTTAATAAACTTTTGTGTTCATACTAATTAATTTAATTTGATACGATAAATAAGATTAAAGATCTAAAATAAAGTAGGTTCCGTCTTTTTCTTTCCATGATAGAAATTTTACACATTCTTCGTCAGATGCAAATCCATACCTACCCCTCGTTCAAGACATTCCCACACCATCGAACACCTTTGTTTTATCTTCAACAGTGCTGAGCTGTACAAATCCGGTCGAAGGGTCAGCGGTGTTTACCTGTTCGACCCAGATGGTTTAGGCGCCTTTAATGTGTATTGTGACCAAACTACAGCCGGTGGGGGATGGACAGTGATCCAGGAGAAAATGGATGGCTCTGTCAATTTTAACAGCACTCAGGATGACTACAAACATGGCTTCGGTAACTTGGTCGGTGAATTTTGGCTCGGACTGGACAAGATAAACCGCCTGACCCGAAACAAGACAAAAAAAAAAAAAAAAAAAAAAAGCTGGGAGTAGATTTAGGAGTAAAAACTGGCAAAACTGTTACCTTGAGTATGGCTAGTTTGGGACTGGGACCGAGACAGCTAACTACCGGCTATACCTTGGCACTATCATAAGTAAGTAAACCGTTTTTTTGGCATTCATCGCTCGATTTTTATACATTGCTTCTCTCTCACCTAAATCTCGATATTTTACTCTTCTTTGTCGAATAATGGTATTATTAAGTAGCAGGGTAGTCCTGAGGTAGACCCACACGTTCTGATTGGTTTTTACTCGGCCGGGAGTTTGGTCTGAGTGCCACATAACAAACTTCTTACTTCTTACCAGCCTTATTTCATTTATTTATTCATTCATCTATTTTTTTCTTTTTTGCGGAAAACAACAAGTTTGAAGCTATAAAGACATTAAACGGACCCTAGAATTATGCAGATTTCTTTCTCACTGTTTTGAAACAGATGCCTCTGTTTCCTCTGATTCCCTCGTTCCTCGCAGAGATTATTCAATTTCTTTCTCGAAGTCACATTGCCGTTTTCCTTCACATCGAAAATTTACTTGGACTGGAGTGATATAGTCCAGTTTGTTTGGATGTATGTGGTACGCAGAGGCTGGTAGAAAACACAGTCAGTTTTGTGTTTAAAGGCTTTGGTTTGCCTACTGAAACGCGTATGTTAAAACTTTTGTTGTTTTCAGAATATATATATATATATATATATATATATATATATATATATATATATATATATATACTTTTAAAGCTTTATATAATTTTCTTGCATGCTTGGGGACAGTTTTTCCAGAAGGTACACTATTCTGTGTCAGTAAATTTAACGAAAAAGAAGTCAAAACAAAAAGCGAATTAACATACAAATGAAACAGGTAAAAGAACTTTTTATGCGCTTCAAAAAACGATAATTTAACGAAAAAGAAGTCAAAACAAAAAGCGAATTAACATACAAATGAAACAGGTAAAAGAACTTTTTCTGCGCTTCAAACTTTTTACAGGCAGCAACGGAATTTCTCTTATATTGAAATAAATTTTCATTAAGCCCACCATGAATGAAGGTCAGGCTTTCAGCCAGTCTTATTAGCGCTCATTGTGTCCTAAATAACTTTAAGCGTGTCTGAAAAGATCTCCTCTTTCAGATTGTGGTGTGTGGTCAAATGTGTTGATATTTCATTAAAGCTATTTCACCATTTATCCTCAAGTTTTCAGGAGAATCTTACTATTTGTCGGACCTGAAATAAATGTTTGTGGCAGGGACAGTAAAATACGAGAAGAGTTGGCCGTTTTCTCTCCACCCGTAAAACTGATATGAACCACTTGTGTTTGGGAGTAAGTTGCTAAATTAAGATTAAGTGTCATGAATACGATGAAACAAGGGAAAATGGTGCTAATCTGTGAAACTGGTAAACCCAGCAAAGTCATTGAATATCACATTTGTTGCCTCGGAGCACGTTCCGGATTTCCCTGAGTATCAAAATGTATGAAATATAAGGATTTCTGATTGATGCATTCCCTCTGATACAATGCTGCGGCAAACTACAAATTTGAAGAAGATAATATATCCACTATTGGCCATATAAGGTGTCATCAAACTGTTTCGGTCTCTATCCAAAAACATTTAAAGAAGTTTGTATAGAAATGCAATTTATGCAGGAAACTAACCTATGAGGTACGGCACTCTTGAGAGCGGAACTCCGTCGCAAATCTACTCATTACAAATCAATAAGCTTTCGAAACTCTGCATACGGAAACTTCATCGTTGACCCAAGAAATATTAGGTATGTTATTCACATAATTTCAATTCGGTTCCGATCTCATCGAGAAATTTGAATGCAAATGACGCAATTATTAGATAACTGATGTACCTGAAACATTCTGGAAATTTTTGTATAGTGTTTTTAGTTAAATAAATGCTAAAACACAGAGAATGAAAACGGTGTCAATCAAAATCTGACCGAAGGAAGGTATCACATTACTGAGTAATTTCAATAAACCGTGGATGACTTCTAACAAAATTGGGTCAAGCGAAAAAGTGCATTAGTACCGACATGTGAAAGAAAACCTGCAACCAGAATGTGGTTATTCAACATCATGTAATAGATTATTTATGAAACATCAAAGAATTGGTCAGCGTGCGTATATCGAATTATGGATGCACGCGTGAAGTTGGAGAGCAGGTACATCAAAGTCTCTAAACACAAAACTGACTGTGCTTTCCACCAGCTTCTGCATACCACAGACATCCAAAGAAACTGGACTGTATCACTCAAGTCCAATTAAATTTTCGATATGAAGGAAAACGGCAATGTGACTTTAAGAAATAAATTGAAGGATGTTTAATTTTTCACTTTCATTAATTCGCTTTCTGAAGAGTGTGCAAATAGTTAAGCCTAAACTGAGAACGTATGTCCCTTGTCTGTTACTCAACTTTTCAACCCTTGAAATTTTAAGTATATCGGCGAAGAATTCCATGAGACTGATGATAAAATTTCCTACTTTGGAACATAATTGTTTTTGTCATTATATTTACACGAAAGTAAATAGCAGGAGTTATTGCGCTCAGTATGTTGCATAGACATTTGAAACATGTTAAACTAATACTTTTACGCAAGTAAGCGGTTACACAAGGCCCGGAAGTGGACTTCGATACCATAACGTATTCGTCAGATCAAGCGAAAGATCCTCACTGCAAATATCAAATTGAAAACCATTGTAGGCTCAGTATTCCTCGAGCATAGGAAGTCTCCACAAGTGGATTCCCATGGCAACTCAATTAATAAGAGTTTTAAGTAGAGGTAGAAATATTATAAAGCAGTCTTTATTTCTTCACAAATTATAAAGTCACATTTTAAAGGTACCTTTTGTGATCTAATCTTTGATAGCACTGAAATAGCAAAGTTGAAGAATCCTTAGAAAATATAAAAACTATTGTATTAATAACAAAACATATATAAACTCTATCTTATGGCATATAGTGTTCCACTGTATACAGAATTCTTCTGAATTAATTTCGGTGTTATGAAAATATGTTTTTCCCAAAATTATGTTTGGTGACATTTTAATCGCATTATTCTAAACAAATCCCATAAAGTCTGCAAATAATAAAACATTTCTGATACCAACTGATTACGATATATCTTCTTTACAACAAAAGTGTAGTCGAGTCTATGATGCTGTCATTAATCTAATTTGCATTCTAAAAATCTATAAGTCTTGAAGTAAAGAGATTGAAAAAAGTAATCGGTGTTTTATTGTCACACAAAACACTTCTTGATTTTTGCAAACAGTAGATGCACATTTCATTTAAGTAGAATTCAAGCCACGCGCATAAATTCCACTGGTCTTATTTTCATTTCAGTTGATGTTGGAGCGCTTCTCTTGGCACTTCTCCCTAAGTATCCCCAGTGGATAGCGGCCAAGGTTTCTTTTCCACAACGTGGATAAATACCATTAAGATTTGACGAAACAGCACATTGGGTAATACTGCTGTCATACCACCAGCCTCCTCCTATTTGTTGAGCACAACCAGCAGGAACCTTATCCCAGGTACCAAAAACGAAACCTTTATGAGGACCGAGTGAATCATTGGAAACAGTGGCATCTGTTTCAAAACAGAACAAAAGAAATCCGCATAATTCAAGGGTTCGTATAGTGTCTTTGCAATTTAAAAATGGTTGTTTTCCGTTAAAAAAAAAAAAAGTAAATAAATAAAAAATAAACAAATAAATAAAATAAGGTTAGTAAGAAGTTTGTTATGTGGCACTCAGACCAAACTCTCGACCGAGTAAGAACCAATCAGAACATGCGGGTCTACCTCAGGGCTACCCTGCTACTTAATAATACCATTATTCGACTACGTGGAGTTTTAGATCGAGATTTTGACGAGAGAGAAGTAACGTATAACGATGAATGCTAAAAAAACGGTCTACTTACCTATAATTTTGCCAAGGTCTAGCCAGTACTTAGCTGTCTCGGTCCCAATCCCAAACCAGCCATACTCAGAGTGAACAGTCTTGCCAGTTTTTACTCCTAGATCTACTCGAAGCTTGTTCTTTGTCTTGTTTTGTGTCAGGCGGTTTATCTTGTCTAGTCCGAGCCAAAATTCACCGACCAAGTTACCGAAGCCATGCTTGTAATCATCCCAGCTGCGGTTAAAATCGACAGAGCCATCCATTCTCTTCTGGATCACCGTCCATCCCCCACCGGTTGTAGTTTGGTCACAGTATACATTAAAGGCGCCTGAACCATCCGGGTCGATTGTGTAAACACCGCTGACCCTTTGACCAGATTTGTACAGCTCAGCGCAGTTCTTAGCTATTGAAGATAAAATAAAGGCGTCCGATGGCGCGAGAATGTCTAAAACGAGGGTGGATATAGATTTGCACCTGACGAAAAATGTATAAAAAGTTTATATCTTGGAAAGAAAAAGACGGAACCTACATTTTTCGTAGATCTTTTATCTTATTTGTCGTGTAAAATTAAATGGTATGAACATGAAAGTTTATTAACGTACTTTGTAGACGAACACTGATTATAAGCGAAAGAAGTGCTACTTGATCGACTCATTATAATCTGTATTATTTTTTTATCATTCTTCCCTTCACTTCAACAATCACAACCTTTGATTAATTACAACAAAATAGAGAAAATTGGAGATAGGTATAATAAAGCAAGCTAATTAGATGACCTTTACGCCAAATAACATTTTTTTTCATACAATACAATAGAACAAAAGCGATTGATATATGAGAGGGAATAGGAATCACACTTTTAACAACAAATATATCAATAGTACATAGTGAAAGGAAGACGTTAATAAATACTAAGAAAAGTAATACATAAAAACTGCTCTTTAAAAAATGTTTTCTAGTGGGCTTCTCCCGCACTGATATAGGAATATCATTTCAATAGTAGCATTCGATAACTGTTGCACAGAATCTCCTTATATTTATTCTGAAGGTGCAAGTGTTCGGGTGCTGCAACTATATACTTATAGTGTCATAATCATGGATCTCAGACACAAAAGACGAGAAAAATTAGGCGATTTTTCATCTACAATATGATCGTAAAATAGTTGACACGCACTTATTAACTTTAGCCTCCAACTCTCGTTAATTTTGATTACGTATAAAGCAAATTAATGAGGATAAAAACGACGATAAAGGACAAAAATAGAACGGACATAAAAAAATAAAAAAAAATTTAAAAAAAAAATATATATATTATTCACGTTTGTCAAACACACAGAGACAATACTGTCGTACACATTCTGGAACGAACACCTTCATTCCTCGGTTCCTCCCTCCCGAATCGGCTCCAAACCGAACAATATACTGTTTCTTATTCTAATAGACCGTTTGTTGCTTCTTTCTGAGGAAGTTACTGCAAGCATTTCAAAGTGTTATCCTTTTCCTTTTTTCCTTTCCATGTTTAGCTACATTTCTTTTTAAAAGAGTATTGCAAAGGATAAGAACTACGAAGAGAAAACTGTATATTTTAGAATTGCAAAGTTACTCCTTTGAAACATAAATTGGATTCATCATTCTGCAGAATTAGTCTCCCGTAATATAAGTAACGATTTAGAAAAGATGGAATGATAAATACGAGTAAACGAAGGATATCTTACTTACATCTCAACGATGTTCTGTTCTTTAAGAGAATGTTAACCTCAAATCGAACTTGGGTGAGTTCCTTCATTATTTCTTCCAGGCAAACTGCAGTGTTCTTTTGGCAATCTATTGGCAATGCACGCATTGATGGTAGAATTTGAAAAGTCAAAAAAAATGCCAGAAACAGTAGAGCAGAACCTGCAGAGAAGAAGTCATCGAGCGTTATGAGGTCACTTCATCTACGATATGTTATACAGTCACATTTCCGAATGAATTTCTGACAACAAACGGAAAGAAATTATGGGGTCCTTTTGATTGGGAAATCTGGATTTAGTTTTTGATATCCGGATCTCGGATTTTGCGACAAAGCATGAAGTAAAAAACCAGACTTTAAATCTCAAAAACCCGTTTCTTACAGGGGATTATTATTATTATAAGTTATCCAACTTATGATATCACGAAATTCCTTCTTTTGCGTTCTTTTAAAAGACGAGTGCTATCTTTTAATCCCATAAAGCATTTGCTATTTTTAAATTATTTTATCAGTCATTTCATTCCAACATATGATTGTCCAAACAATAGTTGGACAAGAAATTGAAACACCTACAAACAAGAAGCTTGCAAGAGCTCCCCTGCGCTATTTTAACCCGCTCGCAATTTTTAAAAAAGAACGATAGTTGTCAATTTTGGCATTCCCGAGGTAGAAACGAACTCAAAACTGCATCTGCATAATCCAAGAGATTCAATTCAGTCAACTATTGAACAAGGCGATCGAGTTTTTTAAGTGAAATTGTTCAGGGCTCGTTGCAAAAGAAAGTTATAGGCTACCACGAGCGTGAATGATCGACTGTTTCAGATAACTGACTTTACTTCATTTATCACACCACGACTGAAAGATTTCAAAACCTTTGGAGTTCGACTATTGTTCCCTGTGATCGAGCACACTGACTGGGTTTTGAGAGTTGTTGGTGTTTGCTATATAATAGGAGTCGCATACAATAAGCGCTTTTGGACCATTGGGAATTAGCGCTCTATAAATACTGTATACTGTATAGTACAAACCCCATCGGTTAAAAGGAGGTGCAAACGTTAGCCTCTTCATTTTCAATAGCTTCAAAACGAAAAATTCCATATTTGGAAAAAAGAAGCATAGGATATAATCAAGTAAGTTGCTCAAAACTGTGACTTGCATATCGAACAGTATTACATACCTATACCTTGTCGATTGTCCCTCATTTTGATTCGTCGGGTGTTGTTTGCAGTGTTATTCATAAAGGCTGCAAAAAGATAAAACCGATTTTATGTTAAAGATAGGAAAGAACATTAAGAAACTCTATGGAAAAAGTACAGTGGGAAAGTTTTTCCCAAAAGTACTAGGACCTTACATACTGCTGAGCTCACTTACTTGACTTACTTATTTACCCTAACCGCCCGCCTCCTTCGTGCTCTGTTCAAGAACTAATAAAAGTCCGTTCGAATTTGTCTGCTAAATATGCCCACAGAAAACAAAAAGTAGACAAATCCTATTGGCTCAGGCCGTTCCAGGGGTTAAAAATTCTGTTACCCCTTAAAATAGAACTAAGGCAGCTAACTATATCGAGAATCTACAACGGGTTCGTAACAGGAAATTTCTAGTTTTGGCTCGTCTTTGGTCAGTCTTATTCATAGTTGGCGACAACTTGCATGTAGTCGTCAACCATATCACTGAAATGTGACATGATTGACGACTACATTATCGTGACAGCTAGTGTTCAGAATTCAGCTGGTCTTCTAGAAATATCTTAGTTTCAATTTTTTCTGCCTAAACAAGATTTAAAAGAGTGTTTGATGAAGTCTCTTCCGGACCCATCTTTGTTTATTGATATGATAGATTTTCCTTCGTGAGATAGATGTTTAACAATGAGTATTGCAAAGCAAATCAAATGGAATTCAGTAATTTATTATATTGGACTTATGATTATAAACAGTAGCTATATAGATGTTTTATATCCTCTGATATTTGACACTTCATGAGAGCTTAATGGCTTTTTTATAATCCTAATTCCGTTCCTTAATCATGCAGGCACTCCGGAATGCAGACGAAACAAACAGATTCTTTCAACCAAAATGGTTGCTATTTCTCAGTTACCAAGTTTTATAAAAGGAGTCCTTGGAACAGCATGGTCAAAATTTCAGAGAGTGTTGCCTGAATACGCATATATTTTCACTGTTATGTGGGCAAACGGTTTAGCTACCATTTCGCGCCATTTATGAAAGAAACGAAATGAAGTTAAGGAAGTCTAAAAGCAACTTTGTGCCTTAAATAAAAGGAAAAGATAAGATAAGAAGGTGTTGGCAATTTTCCGTAGCCTCTAATCCTTCCTAAGCTCTTCTCATCAGTTTTCATCTGTCAATCAAATCACTATCTAACTCATACAGTTACGGTGGCTACAACTTTTAAAATCGTTTGGATAAAATTATTTCCGCAAGCGACATTTATTGAATTTTTCCTCCTCAATCCCGTGACTTACTCACGTTATCGATGACGTGTTTCGAAAGAAATTTAATTTGACTGTCAGCTTTGGTATAGAGGAAGATAATTACCTTGCAGCTGTATTGTGGCATTCTCGTAATTTGGCGGGCAGAGAAGATGCAGAAGACCGCTGAAAAACAGAGGTTTAACAATCACATTCTTCACTAATTAATCGATTAATCAGTTGTTATTTACCATTTTTTTTTCCAAATCGTGTGGTGAGTTTACCCTTTATTTCTGAACTTGAGGTCCCTATATGGAACACATGAAAATATTTGTAATGGAGAACCCATTTTCACCAACACGGTGTAAAAAAATTGCACACATCCATTTTATCTATTTTAAATCTATGATCCAGAATCACCACAATCCTAGACACACTTTTCAAACGTTTTCCCTTACGACTTACGTCTTTTTAATGTTGGTTGTAAGAGCACTGGAAAGCTATCTCATCCTTGACAAGAGAGTAGAGATTTTTCTTAAATTTTACGATAGGTGGTTTCGTAGGGTTACGTTTCGCTACAAGGAAGTGATATCGCTGGTGACTACATCTGAGACAAACGATGATAATACGTTGGTACTGTTTTCAACGCGTCCAAAGACTTTTTTAATTGCCTTCGGAAGTCTTATCACCAATTTCTACACGGAAAAAAAATTCTTCTTTTTCACGAGAAAAAAAATTACGTTCTCGGCATGTTTCTCGGGGCATGGAAAAACTCATTTCTACACTTTGTTTTCCTAACATTTTTGCATTGGTTATCCAGCGTGGGTTACCTCGGTGTTTGTTTAGTTTTTTTTCTTGAAGCGGCTAATGAGGTGAAAACTTGGTATACGACACCAGTTTTCCGGCACAAGCATTACACTGATTAACATTCCGTTTTCTGAAATGTTTTCCCCCGATTTTCTAGTATGTTGTAACCGTTTTCGTGGCGTTTTAAAGAGTGCATCGCGTATGATCTAAATAGACAGCTTTTTCTAAATTTCGAATCCGATTTAACGGAGAGTTTTAATTGACGATGAAGAAATCGGAATTCATTATTCATGTTTTAGTTACGAATTCGTTATTTTCAAAGGGTATTGGAAACTTCCACAAAGTAAATCAAGAGGTCCATGTTTCTGAAGGCAGACGGCTTTTTGGGGCAACTGGGTTATCTATCATTTCATTTCTATCATTTGGATTATTTTTGCTAGTTGAATCATTCATGTCTCTTGGATCATTTCTGCCCGTGGCGTCATTTGTGTCTCTGAATCATTTGTGTCTATTGGATCGTTTGTGTCTATTGAAGCGTTTGCGTCAATTAAAGCGCTGGTGTCTCTTGGATCAGTTATGTCTATGAGATCATTTGAGTATGTTAAGTCATTTGTGTCTATTGAAGCGTTCGTGTCTGTTGGATCATTTGTGTCTATTGAAGCATTTGTGTTTATTGAATCATGTTTGTCTGTTAGATCATTTATGTCTGTCAGATCATCTGTGTCTATTGAAGCATTTGTGTCTTTCGGATCATTTTGTGTCTCCAAACCGTTTCATTATTGTGATAAGGACGGAATTAGAATAATCAAAATAACATACCTAATATTTTATGGGTCACCATCAAAGTATTAGACAAGCACGCGTCAGCAGTTTGCATCAATATTGTATTAGAAAGAATACCTCAGTCCAAATCACATTGCCAAATGCGCGGGGACGAGTACGCTCTTCAATGCACTTAGTGCCAAGTAGTCAGGAATATACTATAAGGGTTTTTTTTCAAACTTGTTGGTAGTATCAAAAAATATGGTATTGGATGTCGAAGGACAAAAAAAGGAAATGATGTTCGTTCTGTAGATGAAGAAATCTGCGAGACTGAGTATCGTCGTAATTGTGTAAGGGTGCACATGCTCGC